CTTTCCCAAAATTCCCTGGTTTTCCAGAAATCCTGGTTGGAGGATATCAGATTTCCTGCTTATTCCCTTCCAATTCCGGGAATCTTTCAACTGGGATTTCTGGAAAACCTGGGAATTTTGGGAAAGCTCGAGGAGTTTTGCAACCCTAGCTACTGTAGGGGTGTTACTAAGGAGGAAAACATGACTATTTTGTTAAGTTAAAGCTATAATTTGTGAACATTTCTTATTGTTAATATGCACAAAGCTCTCTTATCTGAAATCCTCAATAATGGAATGCAGAGATTCTAGCATACTATGTGAAGGCACCAATAAATACCATGAGCAGAAAAAAGGTATGTTAAACTACTACAGTCTCAATTAATTAAAAAGTAAAACATGAGTATTTATTGGTAGTGTTGGTATCATGTTAAAAGCAAAACACAGCCGTCAACTGTATTCTTTGCAACTTTATATTTTTGGCAAATACACAAAACATTTTTACAAAAGCATTGTATAAACATTTGTGCAGTGTAAATGATCAAAACTAAAAATAATGTATATTACATTTGAAATCGTTTTGCACCCAACATGACATGAGGATTGTCATTCTCAGCAGCAAAAAAAAATGTTATAACTCAGAAGTAACATGAAATGTCTGTTAGATGGTGACTGAGACTTTAAGAAACAGACACAAAATGAAATGTGAAAAAATAAACAGTTGCTACACTGCTCAAATACATTTCTTGAAAGCAAATTAAGGAAATAAAGGATGGTTTTGCACTACAGTTCTTTTTCCATGAAGGAGGGCTTCATTCATCTATGGGTTAGATTGCTTGTACATGACCCTTGTGCCCATCCAGGCACTAAGGCAATCTCCTTCCACATGTATACAGATTATCAGCCTTCCAATTAAATCACCCCAGTTGGAGAAAACAGTGCACTGGCTGCACAAAATTGTCTACATAAGCTTATCATCCCACACACACACACAACCATCAAGGAATTCTCTCTAAGAACATTTGTGAGACGGAAACATTTAAAGATCAACTGAAATGTGCTCGATGACCCCCAGTTGAATATTACTAAACTGTAAAAAAATAAAATGAAATAAAAATAAACAAAAATATTGGAAATGAAACGGACCACCCAAAAAAAAATTATACAAATTCTGAAAACAAATAACATTGAACATATGGATACATAAATATTGTCAGATTACATAACATTTAATAAAATGTATTTTTATGTAACATTGTATTGCTGTGTCAATACATAAAACGTATTTTTCCCCCCGCACATTAGAGCGGCATTTGTGCATAACAAGCAATACAGATCGCCCAAGTCTCTTGATATTAGTAATACTGATCGAATTATAAAAACATTTTTTTTGCCTTGTTGGGAAAAGAACACGACTCAAACACTGTTGTAAATACCCTGCACTTGGATCCTGGCACAGCTTTAAATGACGTGCATCTGAAATGGCACCCTATTCCCTAAACAGTGCAATACCTTTGACCAGAGCCCTTTGGTCCCTGGTGTAAAATAGTGCACTGTATAAGGCAGTCTTCTCCAACCCTGTTCCCGAAGAGCTACCCTCCTGTAGGTTTTCACTCCAGCCCCAGTTGTAACTAACCTGATTCAGCTTATCAACTAGCTAATTATTAGAATCAGGTGTGCTAGATTAGGGTTGGAGCAAAAACCTACAGGACAGTAGCTCTCCAGGAACAGGCTTGGAGAGCCTTAGTATAAGGTATACGGTACAATTACTAGAAGGTAGGCGGTGGTACAACCGTTATCTCTGAGGAGAGTAAACACAAGCTGGAACAGATCTATGTAGGTTATCTTTGGTCACGCACAGGGGAGCGAATGGACTTGAATGATTGAGTACAAAGGTGAATGGGACTAGTCAGTCAGACAGTGTCTCAGATGTGTGTGTGTGTGTGTGTGTGCACGCGCATGCGCACCGTTAAGCACATAACACACACATGGCTCTCAGGTTTAAGGTCTTATATGTTCAAGTCAATAAAGGATAGTATGATATACTGTGATGATTATACAAGTACAGCCATGTGTCACGCCCTGGCTCTGGGGACTCTCGTATGTTGAGCCAGGTTGTTAGTTTCTATGTTTTGTGTTGTAGGTTGTGGGTCTAGTTTTTGCATTTCTATGTTGGCCAGGGTGGCTCCCAATCAGAGACGGCTGTAGCTCGTTGTCTCTGATTGGGAGCCATACTTAGGTAGCCGTTAGGCATTCGTTTGGTGTGGTTTCTTGTTCCTTTTGGTTTGTGTGTACCGTATGGTTTGTATTGTAACCAAGGACTTCACGTTTCGTATCGTTTGTTGTTTTGTTTGTGTGGTGTACTAATAAAATATGTACGCATCTCACGCTGCGCATTGGTCCACTTCCTCTATCGACGATCGTGACACCATGCTTGCACAAGGCAATGATTGCCTGTGTGTCCGTACAGTAGGTTTCAAACTGAAAAGAAGGCCTATTGTGAATTGGTTCTTGATATATAATCATGACCAGTTTATCAGAGTACATCCCCAAAGCCATGTCTGACAGGCATCCTTAATGGCACAACCAAACAAACTAATGCTTGAACAACTCTCCTTCATTTGTTTACTAGGGCATCCATCTAGACCTCCACAGACATAGTTTCCAGTTTTACCAACCCAAGCTATCATCACCCACAGAAACAAGTACAACAAATATAAAAATGATCTCAATATGGACAATTCTTCAGCCACTTTGTCTGCCACAATTACAACTGAGATCAAAGCATCATCAGTTAACAGAAGTGGTGTTAAAAACCATGATACTTGATGTTACAATTTTGCTATCTATAGTTATCTGCTAATTCCAGTAAATGGCAGCAAGCTTTGGGCATTGTATCCTATGCTCAAATAATCTTCAACATTTAAAGAGTTCACATACCAGACTTATCAATTCAGAAGCGTTGATACCAGTTTCTGTTGGAACAACCCTAAACAGAATATGAGCATGGATGGTTTATCCACAGAAAAATACAAGCCCATAGGTTATGGCAATTATTTGCAGCAATAATAGATAAAGAAAAATATTAAATGTACTGAAAAGCAAGTAACAAAGGCAAAGTGTCCATCTAGAATTACACCTCAGGAACCAAAGAAAAACAACCCTGGGTCAAACCACTGAAATGCACTGAAGGACCATTGCATTTTACATAACATGGCCAAAAAAATACAGGGCACGTTTTCTTTTTTTGGAAAGTGCAGGAATCACATTTCCAAGTTGACAGTATTATGGACTTAGTTCATTTTTTCCAGAAGCAACTGCCAAAAGCCTTGACACAACACAGAGACTAGTGACCAACGACAGCAACAAAAAACATAACATAAGACAAATAGTGATTCAAGTGCCGTGTTTGTCTGAATACCTGAAGCTCCTTGGCTAGCCAGTTGACTCTGTTCGACATAACATGCACAGCAGAAGCAGTGTGCAGGGCCTGACTGTTTATTCTAGAAATCACTTATTTTCTTCTTTACAGGGCACCCGTCTGTGTTCAAATCAAATCTTATTGGTCACATGCGCTGAATACAACAGGTGTAGACTTTACCGTGAAATGCTTACTTACGAGCCCTTTCCCAACAATGCAGAGTTAAGTAACAAAACAATGCAAAAAATGTAAATATAATATGTATAATATGCTTCTAGCAGGGTACAGTCTATGTGAAGACCTGTTACCTTGTTATGAGGACTGTATTAGCAATCCAAATTGTGCTCATCCTAAGTATCAGTGAAGACACACAATGTGGGTCGACTGTTGTTTAAAAAATGTTTGTCTTAGACACACCTTTGACTACTTGCTGGATTAGGTCAGAGGTAGCCTAACATTTCCCCATTACGTATGTATAACTAAGATATCCAGCTTTTTACCATATCCACATAAAGAACCAACAAACGGAACAATTGTAAGGCAGAAAGTAGGTTCAAGTCTCCCTTGTACTGTAGGTTTGTCTTCCATTTTGAATATTAGATTCAAGTCTATGGCATATCTACTTCGGCTATAGGTACAATCCCCTAACACCACAATGGGAAAAGCAGCTATCTACTGATGCCTTATCTTCTGAGGACTTTGACATGTCTTCAAAAGGTTTCCAAAAATGCTGTGTTAAATAAAAAAAGCTAAATCTCTCAGTTGTCATACTACACAGTGCCTGCATCAAGCAAAATAGTCACCCATAGTCCAATCAAAACAGTCCAATCAAAACAGGACACTACAGTGTAAGACATGCACACACACACAGTCACAAATTCTGTTTGATGACAACTTGGGTACGTGAACTGACTGATTTATCTCAGGAAAATGCAAAATATAATATAAATAGTTTGGCTCAGTCCATTTCTTTTTTTTTTCCTTCTATCGTTTTTTTCTACAAAAAGGATATGGTAAGTAAGTACACAGTTTTGTTAGCAAAACCACATTCTGAGTCGCTAAACTCAGTTACAGGGAGGGAGGGAATACTACTAGTCATACTATTTCACTTTAGGAGCAAAGGTTTTAATCTGTTTGCTTGTTTTGGAGGTAATCTCACAAATACTGATACAAAGAAATGTTAGAGGACCCTCTGGTCTTCATTGTTCAGGTAAATACTAGAGTCAGTCAGTGCTCTTTGAGCCCTGTTAGAAGGCTGATAGTGGTTGCTCAGTGGTTGTTGATCACTGAGAATACTGCCTAATATTCTACTTATTCCCTCAAAGTGCAGAAAAAACTCAAAAAACCTTTTGTCCTGGCTGAGATAACTAGTGTTCCGTCATGAACCCAGTGCTGAGCTCGACAGGAACAAGAAGAGTGACAATAGTAGTAGACCGGAGATGTTGTTTTGCACTATGGCAGGAAGAAAGGCCATGCTCAGCAGGAGAGTAGGACAGTCCCCAAAAGTGAAAACCCCTGTCCTCACTGCAAAACCCAGCCTTGGTTATAATACCACGCCCAGGCTGCTCCGCCTGCCCCTCCCCTCCACACACTGCAGCCTCCATCAACACTTCTGAGCCTCCACAGGAGACATGGCGATGTAGGAGCCGTTCCTCATTGGCTGGTTGGTGTGGTTGTTGTCTGATGGTTCAACCTCTGGTTTATCGCTGACTTGTGTGTAGGCAGTTTCGTCTTTTGCCGTCTGGAGAGGGAAGAATATTTTGTAAAGGACAAAGCAGAATTCCACCATGAAAACAACAACCGGTTATATACTTATAACTAAATTGGAAATGTTATACACATGAAAATGAAATGTTTAATGCAATGTTATAGAATAAACTAATGGAGGATGAATCATGAATTAATGTCACTGTACAAAACCAACAAACCCCAAATACTTTTTAACTTAAATAAAAAATATAATATGAAGCAGGAATGAGATAGATACACACTGAACAAAAATATAAATGCAACATGTAAAATGTGAAATAAAAGATCCCAGAAATGTTCCATACACACTTGTGCTCAAATCTGTTTACATCCCTGTTAATGAGCATTTCTCCTTTGCCAAGATAATCCATCCACCTGACAGGTGTGGCATATCAAGAAGCTGATTAAACAGCATGATCATTACACAGGTGCACCTTGTGCTGGGGACAATAAAAGGCCACTCTAAAATGTGCAATTTTGTTTTGAGAGAGTGTGCAATTGGCATGCTGACTGCAGGAATGTCCACCAGAGCTGTTGCAAGAGAATTGAATGTTGATTTCTCTACCATAAGCTGCCTCCAACGTCATTTTAGAGAATTTGGCAGTACGTCCAACCGGCCTCACAACCGCAGACCACGTGTATGATGTTGTGTGGGTGAGCAGTTTGCTGATGTCAACGTTGTGAACAGAGTGACCCATGGTGGTGGTGGGGTTATGGTATGGGCAGGTTTAAGCTATGGACAAGGAACACAATTGCATTTTATCGATGGCAATTTGAATGCACAGAGATACCGTGACGAGATCCTGAGGCCCATTGTCGTGCCTTTCATCCGGCGCCATCAACTCATGTTTCAGCATGATAATGCACGGCCCCATGTCGCAAGGATCTGTAGACAATTCCTGGAAACTAAAACTGTCCCAGTTCTTCCATGGCCTCCATACTCACCAGACATGTCACCCATTGAACATGTTTGGAATGCTCTGGATGGACATGTATGACCGTGTGTTCCAGTTCCCGCCAATATCCAGCAACTTTGCACAGCCATTGAAGAGGAGTGGGACAACATTCCACAGGCCACAATTAACAGCCTGAGCAACTCTATGCAAAGGAGATGTGTCGCGCTGCATGAAACAAATTGTGGTCACACCAGATACTGACTGGTTTTCTGATCCACGCACCTACCTTTTTTCTTTTTAAGTAATCTGTGATCAACAGATGCATATCTGTATTCCCAGTCATGTGAAATCCATAGATTAGGGCCTAATGAATTTATTTCAATTACTTATATTTTTGTTCAGTGTATGTATGCATACATATATACTGAACAAAAATATAAATGCAACATGCAACAATTTCAAAGATTTTACTGAGTTACAGTTCATAGAAGGAAATCAGTCAATTGACATAATTCATTAGGCCCTAACCTATGGATTTCACATGACTAGGCAGGGGCGCAGCAATGGGTGGGCCTGGGGAGCCAGACCCAGCCAATCAGAATGAGTTTTTCCCCACAAAAGGGCTTTTTACAGAAATAAATACTCTTCAGCACCCCCCCTCCCCTTCCTCAGACGATCCCACAGTTGAAGAAGCCGGATGTGGAGGTCATGGGCTGGCGTGGTTACACATGGTCTGCGGTTGTGAGGCCGGTTGATGTACTGCAACATTCTCTAAAACGACGTTGGAGGCGGCTTATGGTAGAGAAATCTACATTTTCATTCTCTGGCAACAGCTCTGGTGGACATTCCTGCAGTCAGCATGCCAATTGCACGCTCCCTCAAAACTTGAGACATCTGTGGCATTATGTTGTATGACAAAACGGCACATTTTAGAGTGGCCTTTTGTAATGATCATGCTGTTTAATCAGCTTCTTGATATGCCACACCTGTCCAGGTGGATGGATTATCTTGGCAAAGGAGAAACGCTCACTAACAGGGATGTAAGCAAATTTGTACAAAGAAATGGAGATTAATAAGCTTTTTGCGCGTATGGAAAATTTCCAGGATCTTTTATTTCAGCTCATGAAAAATGGGACCAACACTTTACATGTTGCGTTTATATATTTGTTCAGTACACACACACACACACACACACACACACACACACACACACACACACACACACACACACACGTATGTGGACACCCCTTCAAATTTGTGGATTCTGCTATTTCAGCCACACCCATTGCTGACAGGTGTATAAAATCGAGCACACAGCCATGCAAATCACCATAGGCAAACAATAGCAGTAGAACGGCCTTCCTGAAGAGCTCAGTGACTTTCAACGTGGCACCGTCATAGGATGCCACCTTTCCAACAAGTCAGTTCGTCAAATTTGTGCCCTGCTAGAGCTGCCCCAGTCAACTGTAAGTGCTGGTATTGTAAAGTGGAAAGGTCTAGGAGCAACAACGGCTCAGCCTCAAAGTGGTAGGCCACACAAGCTCATAGAACAGGACCGTAGCGGGCAAAAAAATTCTGTCCTCGGTTGCAACACTCACGACCGAGTTCCAAACTGCCTTCGGAAGCAACGTCAGCACAAGAACTGTTCGTCGGGAGCTTCATGAAATTAGTTTCCATGGCAGAGCAGCCGCACACAAGCCTAAGATCACCATGCGCAATGCCAAGCGCCGGCCGGAGTGGTGTAAAGCTTGCCGCCATTGGACTTTGGAGAAGTAGAAACGCGTTCTCTGGAGTGATGAATCACGCGTCACCATCTGGCAGTCCGACGGACAAATCTGTGTTTGGCAGATGCCAGGAGAACGCTACCTGCCCAAATGCATAGTGCAAACTTTAAAGTTTGATGGAGGAGGAATGGTCATGGGCTGTTTTTCATGGTTCAGACTAGGCCCCTTAGTTCCAGTGAAGGGAAATCTTAATGCTACAGCATACAATGACATTCTAGACGATTCTGTGCTTCCAACTTCGTGGCAACAGTTTGGGGAAGGCCCTTTCCTGTTTCAGCATGACAATGCCCCCGTGCACAAATCAAGGTCCATACAGAAATGGTTTGCCGAGATCGGTGTGGAAGAACTTGACTGGTCTGCAGAGCCCTGACCTCAACCCCATTGAACACCTTTGTGACTGCAAGCCAGGCCTAATCGCCCAACATTAGTTCCCGACCTCACTAATAATAATAATAAGCCATTTAGCAGACGCTTTTATCCAAAGCGACTTACAGTCATGTGTGCATACATTTTTACGTATGGGTGGTCCCGGGGATCGAACCCACTACCCTGGCGTTACAAGCGCCATGCTCTACTAATGCTTGTGGCTGAATGGAAGCAAGTCCCCGCAGCAATGTTCCAACATCTAGTGGAAAGGCTTCCCAGAAGAGTGGAGGCTGTTATAAGAGCAAAGGGGGGACCAACTCCATAGTAATGCCCATGATTTTTTAATGAGATATTCAACGAGCAGGTGTCCACATACTTTTGGCCATATATCATCCCTAAAGATAATTTAAATGATAAGCAACAAGCAAGAATTGCTAACAGCTCAAAGAAAATAGCAAACGAAGCAAAATGAAGACTTACAGTAAAAGAATGAAAAGCTTCAGTAAAATCAATACGTTTTACTTCATTCTAAAACAGAAAGGAAAAAGGGGGGGGGGTTACAGAAATGTTTTATCATAATACGGTAACTATACAGTTCTTTATAATAGCTTTATTTGATAAAACAATATTTATCTGAATACTTTAAAAATACCAATTCTCTGTCTGTGATGTGAACTCCTATTTTGTTTCTCAGCATGAACATGTAGGCAGGCCTATGTCTGTTGTTGAACCATGTGGGGAAGATACTAAGCTAACTCTTATCTATCTGAGTCATGACTGATGGGTGGGGAATGGGGTCATGCACAAGGGGTCAGATCGACTAACCTAGACAAACACGTAAGTGTTGAAAGTACACTGGCTATTCTACAGGATTACTTGAGTTCAGTGCCTGTACGCCACTGTAGACTATACACTGTTATCATTGTGACAGTCTGCCAACGGGGAACTGCTCAATTCAGATATATACTTCCTGTTCTGACATCAGTGGTTTCAATTGTTAGAAACGCCAGCCGGAATAACATTTCATACAGACATTACAGGAGGTAGGACATGCTGACTATGTGAGGTTACCCTCAGTCACCAGACCAGTGATGTTAATATAGAAGAATAAATGGTATATAAACAGATAAACATGGAACACAGTCAAAGCTAACATAAAACCTTTGTTGTGTCATTGCACCCCTATAGACTAATCACTTATGAAATCCTTCACAACAACTGACATATTGTGAGTGAAGTGCCCAATTGTTAATGAAATGTACAATTTACACTATATTTCAGAGAAGCTAATGAATATTCTTGTTTGGGGTGTCCTGGGAGTAAGTGCAAGGGTAGAGGGGAGGTCTTACCTTCTTCTGGCGAGACCTGCAGACCAGGATGACGAAGACTATGAGCAGGATGGCGCCCATGCCCACGATGAGCAGAGGGAAGTTGGACACCAGGGTCACGATGAGCAGCAGGGTCCTCATCTGGGCAGCAGAGTCATCGTCGATAGTGGCCGTCTGGGGGAGGTGGGGGTTCACTAAGGTTATCAACCTGTCTTTACTATGTTATTAACTGGTGTTATTAATGGATGCTGTAAACCAGTTATTAACTAGTCTTAATAATAGACCAGTAATAAAGGGTTATCTCTGGCTATATTTCTAGATTTTTTCAATGTCTGATACAACTTAATTTGACATTTCTACGCTGCGCGTGAGACCGACTGAATTTCACAAAATAAATTGGAGAGTGAGGGATGGAGGATATATGTCTTACCTCATTGACAAACATGATAGGGAAAATTATCTCCTTTAGATGTTTGGTTTTGCTGCAGAAGAGAAAATGCAGTGAGAACTCGAGGTTCAACAATGGGCCTTCTCATCCCTCATACGAATTGAGTGAAAAAAAGATCAGGCTTCAAAGTGTGGAAAACTGTTCTGATTTTTACTTACGGGAAGCCTGGAACTCTGTTCAAAATGATATTGAGCTGGGCTCTCTTGCAGGCACGGATGGGGACACCAGTGGTCTAGAAATACAAAATAAATTGAAACATGCAGTTACATCTTGTCCTTTCCAATATGGAGACAGCAAATCTTAATAATCAACTGGTACTGCATAAACACACATCCAGTTGAAGTTGGAAGTTTACATACACCTTAGCCAAATACATTTAAACTCAGTTTTTCACAATTCCTGACATTTAATCCTAGTAAAAATGCCCTGTCTTAGGTCAGTTAGGATCACCACTTTATTTTAAGAATGTGAAATGTCAGAATAATAGTAGAGAATGATTTATTTAAGCTTTAATTTCTTTCATCACATTCCCACTGGGTCAGAAGTTTACATACACTCAATTAGCATTTGGTAGCATTGCCTTTAAATTGTTTAACTTGGGTCAAACATTTTGGGTAGCCTTCCATAAGCTTCCCACAATAAGTTGGGTGAATTTTGGCCCATTCCTCCTGACAGAGCTGGTGTAACTGAGTCAGGTTTGTAGGCCTTCTTGCTCGCACACGCTTTTTCAGTTCTGCCCACACAATTTCTATAGGATTGAGGTCAGGGCTTTGTGATGGCCACTCCAATACCTTGACTTTGTTGTCCTTAAGCCATTTTGCCACAACTTTGGAAGTATGCTTGGGGTCATTGTCCATTTGGAAGACCCATTTGCGACCAAGCTTTAACTTCCTGACTGATGTCTTGAGATGTTGCTTCAATATATCCACATCATTTTCCTTCCTCATGATGCCATCTATTTTGTGAAGTACAACAGTCCCTCCTGCAGCAAAGCACCCCCACAGCATGATGCTGCCACCCCCGTGCTTCACGGTTGGGATGGTGTCCTTCGGCTTGCAAGCAACCCCCTTTTTCCTCCAAACATAACGATGGTCATTATGGCCAAACAGTTCTATTTTTGTTTCATCAGACCAGAGGACATTTCTCCAAAAAGTAAGATCTTTGTCCCAATGTGCAGTTGCAAACCATAGTCTGGCTTTTTTATGGCGGTTTTGGAGCAGTGGCTTCTTCCTTGCTGAGCGGCCTTTCAGGTTATGTCGATATAGGACTCGTTTTACTGTGGATATAGATACTTTTGTACCTGTTTCCTCCAGCATCTTCACAAGGTCATTTGCTGTTGTTCTGGGATTTATTTGCACTTTTTGCACCAAAGTACGTTCTTCTCTTGGAGACAGAATGTGTCTCCTTCCTGAGCGGTATGACGGCTGTGTGGTCCCATGGTGTTTATACTTGCGTACTATTGTTTGTCCAGATGAACGTGGTACCTTCAGGCATTTGGAAATTGCTCCCAAGGATGAACCAGACTTGGAGGTCTACAATTTGTTTTCAGAGGTCTTGGCTGATTTCTTTTGATTTTCCCATGATGTCAAGCAAAGAGGCACTGAGTTTGAAGGTAGGCCTTGAAATACATCCACTAGTACCTCTCCAATTGACTCAAATGATGTCAATTAGCCTATCAGAAGCTTCTAAAGCCATGACATCATTTTCTGGAATTTTCCAAGCTGTTTAAAGGCACAGTCAATTTAGTGTATGTAAACTTCTGACCCACTGGAATTGTGATACAGTGAATTATAAGTGAAATAATCTGTCTGTAAATAATTGTTGGAAAAATTACTTGTGTCATGCACAAAGTAGATGTCCTAACCGACTTGCCAAAACGATAGTTTGTTAACAAGAAATTTGTGGAGTGGTTGAAAAACGAGTTTCAATGACTCCAACCTAAGTGTATGTAAACTTCCGACTTCAACTGTACAAAATGTCACACAGCTACTAAATACAGTATATTTGTTATCAGATTGAGACTATGTAAACAGTATTTATTAGGTACACCACCCCGTTCATGAAAATGGCTTGCTCCTGAGTCACGTGGACGTGGTTTGCTATATAAAGCAGTCAAACAGGCATTCAGTTACTGTTCGATTGAACGTTAGAATGGGCAAAACGAGTAACCTAAGCGACTTTGAGCGTGGTATGATCGTCGATGCCAGGCGCGCCGGTTCCAGTATGTCAGAAACGGCCGGCCTCCTGGGCTTTTCACGCACGACAGTGTCTCGGGTTTACCGAGAATGGTGCAACAAGCAAAACACATCCAGTCAGCAGCAGTCCTGTGGGTGAAAACAGCTTATTGATGAGCGAGGTCGAAGGAGAATGGCAAGAATCGTGCAAGCTAACAGGCGGGCCAAACAGGAACACAAATCCTGGTTCCTGTTGTGTCATGTTGATGGCAGAGTCAGGATTTGGCGTAAGCAGCACGAGTCCATGGCCCCATCCTGCCTGGTGTCAACGGTACAGGCTGGTGGAGGTGGTGTAATGGTGTAGGGAGTGGGGAGTGTTTTCCTGGCACACGTTAGATCCCTTGATACCAATCGAGCAACGTTTGAACGCCACAGTGTATCTGAACATTGTTGCTGACCAGGTGCATCCCTTCATGGCTAAAGGGGGGTTTCACCCGGTACTAGATGGGTGTACCTAATAAACTGGGCACTTAGTTTAGGCCCCATAACATATCCCACATATTGGCCTTATGACTTTAGATGTTAGATAAAATGTTTGTTCATACTGGATTAAGGTCAAGGTAAGTCTCATGCTCCTCCTTGTTGGGGCTCAGTCCTTCAACAGCGTTAATGTACTTGTCATCTGCCTGATAGAAGTGGGGGAATGACACCACAATAGGAGCACCTATGGACAAGAGGAAGGAGATGGGGGTGAAACATGATTTAAAAGGCCCAGTGCAGTCAAAAATGTGCATATTCTGTGTTATCTAAATCTCCACTCTTTGGTTGGAATAATACTGTGAAATTGTGAAAATTATGATAATGCCCTTTTAGTGTAAGAGCGGTTTGAAAAGAGCGCCTGAAATTTCAGGCAATTATTTTTAAATGTTTTAGGGGGTAGATCAGGTTTAATATTGCAGATAGAATTTCAGCCTATTTTGGTGGGATGGAGTTTTGGCCTGCAACACCAGGCACTAAATTAGTTAATAGACCAATAAGAAAGAGAGTTCCCAACCGCTCTGCCAATAACAGCACCTATTTTTTTCTCCCCACTCAGACCACTCCCAAACAGTCTTTGCTCTTTGCCAAGAAGCTATTTTTGTTAGTTTTTTACCATTTTAATTTAAAACAATCACAGTAAGGTACTTAAATTGTTACCCAGAAATTATTTGATATGGAGAAACAGCTGCATTGGACCTTTAAGAGACAAAACACCACAAGCAGCACCCTCAGCTATGCTCAAATAACCTATATCCTTATCCTGGACTTCCATCAGGGACGATTAAGCAAAACAAAGTCAAATGTTTGAATATTGAGGATCTAAAAAGGAAATATCAAGGACAAATATCATGGACAGATGTGAGAGATTGCTAATGTGTGCTATCTGGTATTATAACCCAAGCACAGAGATAGCGGAACAGATAGCAAAAATATGTGTTGAGTTCCTTCCTTGCCATTGGAAAGGCAGCCCATACCGGACAGGTTCTGATAAGATGACACGGTGAAATGATGGCCGTTTTTCACAACCCAAGAGAAAAACAATTCCTTTGAGGTCAGAATGACCATTCTGAAGTTCCACAAGGTACTACCTCAGAGACACAACATAATGTGTTCCATTTCATTCTGTGGTACAACTTGAGTGAGTTAATAACCCTCACTAAGGAATATGGAAACGACTCTAAACTGCAATATCTGACAAATGAAATTCATACCAACAAAAGGCATTAACAAGGGCCCTAGTTCACTTGTAGCCCTGAGATTACTCAGTCATAACAGCATCCAGATTGTTGAACTTTCTCTGCTGCACCACACCGCAAATGCGGATGTTTCTTAACACACATACAGTATGGGACTTAAAGACAGATCTACTCCCCCCACGAGACTTAAGGGTTACAGTAGTGCATTTATATACCATGTGTTTGTACATCGATTGTTTTATGAGGGGAAACTATTTAGAGATATGCCTTATCCTAGCCCTCAAGTTCATAGCTATGCAGGCAATTCAAGTGTTTTATAGCCCTCATCCAGAGTTAATCATTCACCATCTACACTATTGTAAAATCTGCATAGTCAAACATGGGAATTTCTGATATTTATTGCAGCTAGAACTAGACTGACTGCGGTATTCTTTTCAGTCCAAAAAAATAGGTTATGTTATTAGTCAAATCAAAACAGTGGGTAAGTGGGGCGCATGCTTTGTTATGCAAACCAGGGTTGCAACAGGGTGATGAACAGTCTCTTACCTTCTCGGCAAACACTGACTTTAAGCACCCCGGTGCCAAGGCAGTCCCCAGCTGGCACACAGAAGCCGGCGTTGGTAGGGTTCTCCTCAGGACTCTGCAGGACGTCATGTGGAGGGGCGAAGCGGTAGGCTGGGATGCCCTTCACTTCCACATCCTCAACATAACCCAGATGGATAGACCTAGACCACAGGGAGAAGTGGGAATAAGGTTATGGACACAAGACGTGTACAGTGGGGAGAACAAGTATTTGATACACTGCCGATTTTGCAGGTTTTCCTACTTATAAAGCATGTAGAGGTCTGTAATTTCTATCATAGGTACACTTCAACTGTGAGAGACGGAATCTAAAAAAAAAATCCAGAAAATCACATTGTATGATTTTTAAGTAATTTGCATTTTATTGCATGACATAATTATTTGATACATCAGAAAAGCAGAACTTAATATTTGGTACAGAAACCTTTGTTTGCAATTACAGAGATCATACGTTTCCTGTAGGTCTTGACCAGGTTTGCACACACTGCAGCAGGGATTTTGGCCCACTCCTCCATACAGACCTTCTCCAGATCCTTCAGGTTTCGGGGCTGTCGCTGGGCAATACGGACTTTCAGCTCCCTCCAAAGATTTTCTATTGGGTTCAGGTCTGGAGACTGGCTAGGCCACTCCAGGACCTTGAGATGCTTCTTACGGAGCCACTCCTTAGTTGCCCTGGCTGTGTGTTTCGGGTCGTTGTCATGCTGGAAGACCCAGCCACGACCCATCTTCAATGCTCTTACTGAGGGAAGGAGGTTGTTGGCCAAGATCTCGCGATACATGGCCCCATCCATCCTCCCCTCAATACGGTGCAGTCGTCCTGTACCCTTTGCAGAAAAGCATCCCCAAAAAATGATGTTTCCACCTCCATGCTTCACGGTTGGAATGGTGTTCTTGGGGTTGTACTCATCCTTCTTCTTCCTCCAAACACGGCGAGTGGAGTTTAGACCAAAAAGCTCTATTTTTGTCTCATCAGACCACATGACCTTCTACCATTCCTCCTCTGGATCATCCAGATGGTCATTGGCAAACTTCAGACGGGCCTGGACATGCGCTGGCTTGAGCAGGGGGACCTTGCGTGCACTGCAGGATTTTAATCCATGACGGCGTAGTGTGTTACTAATGGTTTTCTTTGAGACTGTGGTCCCAGCTCTCTTCAGGTCATTGACCAGGTCCTGCCGTGTAGTTCTGGGCTGATCCCTCACCTTCCTCATGATCATTGATGCCCCACGAGGTGAGATCTTGCATGGAGCCCCAGATCGAGGGTAATTGACCGTCATCTTGAACTTCTTCCATTTTCTAATAATTGCGCCAAAAGTTGTTGCCTTCTCACCAAGCTGCTTGCCTATTGTCCTGTAGCCCATCCCAGCCTTGTGCAGGTCTACAATTTTATCCCTGATGTCCTTACACAGCTCTCTGGTCTTGGCCATTGTGGAGAGGTTGGAGTCTGTTTGATTGAGTGTGTGGACAGGTGTCTTTTATACAGGTAACGAGTTCAAACAGGTGCAGTTAATACAGGTAATGAGTGGAGAACAGGAGGGCTTCTTAAATAAAAACTAACAGGTCTGTGAGAGCCGGAATTCTTACTGGTTGGTAGGTGATCAAATACTTATGTCATGCAATAAAATGCAAATTAATTACTTAAAAATCATACAATGTGATTTTCTGGATTTTTGTTTTAGATTCCGTCTCTCACAGTTGAAGTGTACCTATGATAAAAATTACAGACCTCTACATGTAAGTAGGAAAACCTGCAAAATCGCCAGTGTATCAAATACTTGTTCTCCCCACTGTAGTAGGACTTTCTCATTACATCAAAATTATGGCAGGATTTTGGAATTCTTCATTCAGATCTACACGTCATTTCCAGAGAAGAGTGTGAGGACGGTGGTCCCAAATGTGTCACATACTGTGCTGAGCATTGGGTAACTATGAGAAGACAAAGTACATGATTGAATCAAAGCTTCTTTTTCATATCATGTGCCGTTTTTCCAGTTTCTCCTCACGCCATGCTCAGCTCACACTTTTTACCATGATCAGGGTGTGGCGTCTTCTACAGTTGTTTATCAGTCTGGCTATCACCTAAACCACTGCCCCTCTTTGTACTTGCTGCTTTGACTGTAAATAAATCATAAACTACCGATAATACAAGATTTGGAGATACGACTGTGACGTACCTGCAGAGGTCAGCAGCGAAGATGTACAGCAGCTCTTTCCTGGATAACAGAGGGTGGAACACACTGCCATCCGTGCCGTTGATCATGTTGCTCTGGTTAGAGGACCACCATGACATTTCACTGTTGGTAGGGGAAAGGTAGGGGAAATGTTAGACATCAACAGGAAGCCTTTGTCTACATAAGGTTATTGTAACACAACGGGACCAAATACTGATTCCATTTCAACTGCCTGGAAGCCATTAAACATAAGGTTTTGCAATCTGCTCTGTCATGACAGGGAACAACTGGGTTTATCCTTGGACTTTGAATACTTGAATTGGAAAGATAACAAGTCATCCCTGTTCAATGAGTAAACCCAATGGCCGGGGCAACGACCAAAAAGCAAAATGCTGACATGAGAAACTTTCTTGATATCCATTCCTCACAACAACATGAAGGTGGAAAAACTGAGGAAAAGGGTCCTTACGTCAGCCCGTTCCATGTGTCTATTCTGCCATATTCCATGTAGTCCCGTTCACCAGTCAGGAACACAAACTCTCCTTCGTGAGTTCCATTTTTCTGGGAGGAGAAAGAGAGCGACAATAGTTCAGTTAGAATGTCATATCAAAACAAATACATCCAACAAACAGGGGAACAGTGGACAGGTACAGAATTAGAAACAGACAAACAACCTTTAATAAGCCATGTTAAAGTTAGAACGTCTTCCTTTATTGATGTTACGTAAATTGGGAAGTAATTTCCGTGTTTAAAGCGGCTGGTTGTCGTCGTTGGAAATGTACTGACGGGGAATATTGTGCTCTAGAGGCTCAAATAAAAATGCCACTGTATTACTGTACCTGCCTATCCAGTTCCGTTTTCCCTTTCTCATAATACAGTTTTATAGGCAGTAGGTTTGGGCGATATACCGTATACTGGGATATTTCTAAATACAGACGGTATGCTTTTCAATACCGTTTTTTTAAAACAGGGCGTGTTGCTGCAGGGGTGCGTGCTACGTCACTGCTTATAACTAGAAGTATAACTATAACAAATCTAAGATGTGTCAAATAAATGATTTCCAGCTCAGGGCTCCAGCAATGCATTTTTGTTTGCTAACTTGCTAGCTAAGTGGCTAGATGTCAAGATGAAGCTTCTTGGTTACAGCAGACATTCAATCCCGTCCTGATCCCTGTTGCCTAAATTGTTTTGTGCGGGTAATACCTTGTACCCCGGCATGGTACAGAAAAGGTATGACGGTATAAAAATCTGGATACCGCCCAACCCTAATATGCAGCAGTAAGACTAAGAGTGCCAAACTAACCATAAAAAGTCCCTTCCACGTAAATGCTTTGACAGTTGAGATTGAGATTTGAAAGTTTAGGTATAGGTAAAATTCTACCCAACGTCTACTTCTTTCGGGGATTTTCCAAATAATGCCCTGAACTTGTTTGTTAAATCTGACTGTTTGCTTTCTTATTGCTTGAGGCAGAATAGCAGACACGAGTCTCCAAAGCAGACATGAGTCTCCCAGAAAGAGGGGAAGTAAGCAAGCTTCATCAGCATATTGTCATTTTCACTCTCATCATGTGATGACACCACAAGACCTCGTCCCAGTCCCTACCAACCGCCTTCTGGTCCGATGACTAAAGGATTTATCGCGCAATGTCACAACTTCTACTAAATCCCAATTTCAAGACCGGCCATTAGCTAAGGCTATAACTTTAGTGAATAACTGTATTAACAAGGACCAGTTCTGAAGGGTAATCTGAGTGAGCATATGGTTTATTACAGTATTTCAAGGTTTTTACTGAATACAAACAGTGCTTACCTTCCACATCAGTCCAAACATCTCGTCCACCTCTGGCTTCATGGCGTGGATTTTGGAGAGCAGAGGGTCCTTGAAACCCCATAGCACCTCGTGAACGGTGCGGGTCATGAAGATTTCCACACCGATGGAGTTCATCCACATGGAGACGAAGGTACGCAGCAGGAAGGAGTAGGAGTTCAGCTCGCTCATCACCGCCTGTCCAGGGAGAGGGGAGGAAACAGAGAGAGAGGGGGTTAGAGATCACATTCGATCATACCACCCAATTTCCACTAGTAACACAACGGCACTATGCAACACAATCATAAACAACGTTTGTAAGTCCATAGCTTTGGTTGCCGTCTGGTCTGGTTCTTGTCATTGGAAATTGGATTAAGTCCACGGAAGTGTCTGCGATAAAGTAACAAGTTTATAGGAACAAGTCACCAAGATGTCATAAAACGGAGTTTAGCATTATGCTTGGAAAGTCTACTGGAATGATGCAGTAAAGCAGGGGTGTCAAACTTATTCCACGGAGGGCCGAGTGTCTGCGGGTTTTAGTTTTTTCCTTTCAATTAAGCCCTACACATCCAGGTGAGGGGAGTTCCTTTCTAATTAGTGACCTTAATTCACCAATTAAATACAAGGGAGGAGCGAAAACCCGCAGACACTCGGCCCTCCGTGGAATGAGTTTGATACATGTGCAGTAAAGGAATGTCAGTACATGGTTATAGTGGTTATACTGCGACTCTCGAAAGGTTAAAGTTGACCAAAACAGAACAGTTGTGGAATGATTCACACCCTCATGTTTCTATGTATTCTTAGAACCGCGTTGCACCATAGTTTATAATAATAATTAATTATTATTATTATTATTAGGTGGGTGCTTACATTTGTCCTATTTCACATATGTACAAGTGTGAATTGGAAATGTGTTTTTTGCATATTCCAATCCCCCCCTCGAAGACCCCCCAAGGATCAGCCATTATTGACTGCAACCCTGGAGCCTTGCTCAAAGGCACGTCGGCAGGTTTTTTAACCTAGTTGGCTCGGGATTCAAACCAGTGACCTTTCGGTTACTGACCCAACGCTCTTAACCGCTAGTCCATCTGCCGCCCAACATACTATACTATGTCCATGGCAGCTAATATACAGTACATAAGCGAAGACTGTACAAGTATGTAGAGGTAACAAGCAGAGACCGAGAGACACACACACTAACTCACCACAGCTGGGATGTTGACTGTCCTCAGAATGTCGACCTCTGGATTACCCCGGGACTTCTCTGGGACGAAGACAAAGCTTTTGGGGTTCAGGGCATAAACCTTGGTTCCATTTTCAAGGAAAGTTACATTTTCCCTGGGTCTGTATTCCCTGTTATGGAAAGGTGTGGGTAGAAAGGTTAAGTCGTTCCACAGAGATATTTCCCCCCCCATGTGAACGAGTTCAAACAAGTCCATGAGCAGGTTCAGCAGCATGGAACAACATTCAGTCAATATGACTTTCCCAAAACCTGCATCACCAGCTTCCCATGATCAAACGAACAGATCATAAAACAAATACATTGTGGACCGAATCTTAACTTGAGATACGCACATGAAACACAAATATTAGCAAAAACCTTTCATTGGTATCGATATAGGCGTTCCACTGAAGTCTCGAGTTACGAGTGTGGACCTCAAGCCCTTTGTGAACTGAGGCCATCTCATTTGAAAGGAGAGCAGTGAGTGTGTTGTCAACCTACCTGTAAGTGTAAGGTCCAATCTGGGTGACCGCTGCCTTGCCCCCTGCTAAGAACACTTCAGGGTTGGTCACGTTGAAGAAGTAATACTCCATGTAGACTGGAGGAGGCGGGTTCTTCCACGACTCAAATACTTGGCTCGCTTCAGTCAAGGTCAATTCCTACAAAAAAAGAGAGAGAAATACAGTTAATGATCAAGGACAGACCAAAACAACAATGATATCTCCAAGCATAATCTGTTTATGGTAGTACATTCCGGAGGGATAGAAAGCTATTTAGCCTAAAATGCTATTTAAAAACGTTTCCTCATTAATTTCTAAACTAAGGATATTTTGGCTTTCAAAAGCAATTACATTTTTGATTCCGTCAGCATCATCCAGCAACAATCCTTTTCAGGTTATGCCAGGAAAGAGCACACACTGCAATTAATGTAGTGTAGACCCTATGCCAGCACACCAAAACAGGGTGAGGGGGAAAAGTCCTTCACAGGTGAATAACTGTCAGTACAAGCAGAAAACCTGAGCGAAAACTGCACAGGAGGAGTCTCTGTCGACTTCAGCAGGATGAGAAAGATGTTTGCATTTTGCTCAGGACAATCCTCAAAAAGCCTAAATTGCCACCCACCATAATGGCAGCGTGACAGTTTGAATAAACAATATGGACTGGCATCACTGTCCTATTAGTCATCATCTGAATACAGGAAAGTGGTTAAAAGTTAGCCGTCATGCCTGGACTAGAAAACAGTAGTTTCAACAAGGTAATTCAACTGTAACTAAAACTGACGCAGTGACATTCAACACTTAGAATGAATGAAGCGTGTTGAAACATGGTTGTCAAATCTAAAGAGCAAATTACTGTTAAGCTGTCTGTTGATCCATAAAACAGCGGTAAATAATCTACGCCAATAGGGCCTACTGTATAGAGAAATCGGTATTTCTAACTTCAAGTGAGAAATGTCTCACTTCCCCCGTCCTTTACATAAGGGGTTCCTGATTGCTTTCTCTGTCCTCTGAGTAAAGTGAGGTGTACTTGAGAAAGGCCTTTAACATTCACACAGCTCACTCACTCAGCTGAAGTCTCAGAGAAGCTCAGCGAAGCTCAGTGATTGAAAGAGGATGTTTATTTTAAGGTGTGGCCCATCAGGGTTGCACAAACACTTGTTTCCTGTCAAGACTTTAGTCCAACCATGATTTAAGATGGTAGAATGACACATTACAATGAGGTGCATACTCCCTATGAAGTCATAAAATGATAGGACAGTATTTTGGCTCATACACACACATTCTGAGAAAAACACTATTTACAACTGGGCCAAAGGTCACCACTCTCTCACTAGAGCATTGAACTGGGGGGCATGCTCCTCAGGGGCAAAACAGAAGCCTATTGCTTCACTTAGATTCTAGTCAGTTTTAAACAAGATCATAACTTGGAGTGGGCATATTGCGGCAGTGAAATATGCTAGTATCCAGCACAAGTAATGTAAACAGGGTTCTAATAAAAGGTTAGGAGCACAACATAAAATCTAGGAGCACCAGAATATATATATATATATATATATATATATATATATATATATATATATATATATATAATGACTGCTGTTTCGGCATCACTAACTTGCTACACAAAGTGGTTGACAGCTGCATTCCCATGCCATTTCGTCTTCAGAAAGTTGCAAGAAATACAAATCACTGATGCATTCTTTAAAATGTAGGCTTTGGACTGAACAAATCTGTAACCACGTTTTTTTTCTCTAGGGCACTAGGAAACAACTGCACAGTGAAACCTATCATTACAATAATTATTATCTGGGGGATTTTTTCTCTGGTCGCACTGGTACTCCCAAAATAAAATATCTAGGGGCATATGCGACCAACATGGTCGCAATTTAGAGCCCTGAATGTGAATCAACTCAAATTGAATAATCAATGATGTACAGCAAAGTATGAATGCTGTGGAGTGAAATATTGCTTCACATTAAAGAAAAATATCCCTGAGTTATTTTGGAACAAGTAACAAAAAGCCTATTTGATACGTTAAAGACATTTCCCTTTATTTTACAAGATCATTTGAGTCACCTGAATGGTAAGTAAAGCCAAAGTAAGCCACCTATTCCAATGCTGTGTGTTGGATTGAATGTGTTTAAAGCCAAACACTGATTGCATACAGAAAATGAGAGAGTGAGGGAAACACAAACAGCACGTGATTCAGAGTCATCAGCAGTGTTCTACCAAGTTTCCAAATTTCGCAATCAGTGAAGTCTGTTTAGTTTTTCTAGATTAAATTGAGTCCCTTTCAAACAGATACAATTCAAGAGTGACAGTTTCTGTGTTTACAACATTTGAACTTTTGGTAAAACCAAGGTCTAGATTAGAATCATTCCTGTGTTTACCAACCTTGAAAAAGGAAGGTCTCTCAAAGGGCTTCCATAGACGTGATGTCTACATCATTTAGCTCTTAGAAATGCTTAAAACCTTGATCTCACAAGCAAGCAGGGACAGAGGGTTGCGGTTTATCAATCTTATCAAAAATCTAACTCACTATGTGTAGCTGGTGGGTGGGGGTGGGTCACATGGTGAGTGGTAAGGACATGCAAGCATAACAACTAAAGCCAAAATATATGCAGGAGTTGTGGTTTGATAACTGTTCTCAACATAATAAGAAATTATATTGAGTGGCATATTTTTCTCTGGTTTTCCAATCTATAAATGATGACAAAAACCTGTTTGAATTAAAGTAAACAGGTTTGTCACCTATACATTTGTTGTGAAAGTTTTTTACTCTACCCTCCAAAATATAGTGTGAGGAGGGGCAGAGGGTTTTTTTTCCTGGAAGAGCAGTCCTCTAGACCTAGATCAGGCCAGGGCTGAAACAACAAGTAAACAGATGACTGCTGTCTGAGCAAAAAAAATCCTGCCTCCAGGCCAAGGAGTCCGTCAGATTCCTCACATGAATTTAACCCTCCTCCCATCCACGCCCTTTTACCAGAAGTCCTCTAGGTAGGCTACTGCAAAGTTGTTCTAAAAGTGCACTATGACACGAAACAACAGATCAGTTTTAGAAGTGGTACAGTTGTGAATGGACAATACTTCTTAATTTCTCATTTATCTTTTCAGTCACCGGCAATGTCCACATAAGACACTTTATTGAACATAAAGTACCCGGTAGGCTGATATTTGATAACAATATTTTGTTTGTTTCATTTCATGACGTTATGTATTCTAGGTCTAGGATGACACCACCATATCCAAAATAAACCCAGATGTGAATTTAACAGCAGCAATTAAACTGTGGCAGGGAACCTTGGGCTGTTTGTCTGTATACGCTCACTGTCAGTTTGACATTTCTGCTGAGGTTGGCAGTTTTAGAAAGAGAAATTGAACCTGTTCAGATCCCTAGGACATTTTGGGGGGATTATTTTATAGTGTAGTATTCAACCTGTTCAGCAAAGACGGGGAAGAATGAAATGCAAAGTATTTCAAAAGAGAGCAGGACTCCGAGCCTTCACGATCTCTCTCCCTTCCCCCACCCATGTGCACGCACACACCTCCCCCTACCCTCCTACAACCACGAAATTCCTACCCTACTACAACCACTGACTGATAAACCCAATAAGCCACTAGGAAAGCTCATATAACTTTAAATCCCAAATCAATTATATTGTGAGACACAGACGTGTAAATAAGATGAATACACTGCAGTTGAAAATGCAGCAGTTCTATTTCAAATAATCTGTATCGTGTATAATAAAGCTTGACTTTGAGATTTAGCAAATGAATTTATAGTGGGTTTATTGTATTGATGGAATAAAGCATGTTGCTTGCTCTGAGTGCACCCATCCATGGTGATGGTGTTACCACCACGCACTGTGACATGAGCATACCCCGAATTGTAAATCAGCCAGCGAGATTCCATCCATAGGCTACTACAATACACTGAGTTTACATGCAGAGCTGTTCAAGAGGTTTGAATCAATGTTGCGGATTTATGAATGATACAATGTTGCGTCCTACCACAAAAACCATCCCTGGTTGGTGGTAAAGAATGCAGCACATAAATTGGTGAACTTGGAAAGCATGGTATGTTGTACTGACCCATGTTGGGTGGGTAAATGACTGGAGATAAGGTTTGAGGGAACTCAATGCTGTAGCTAGCTAGCTAACATCACATTTAAAGCTCCAGCTTGGTCTCAGACTAGATGTAACATAGTAAACCGGGACACTGAAAATAGTATTCTATGTTACGTTTGGTATGGTTACATAAGACAGAAGGTATAACGCCAACGTCTAGCAACTCAAAGGTTGCGTGTTCGAATTTTATCACAAACAACTTTGCTACTACTTGCTACTTTGCAACTACTTAGCATGTAAGCTAACCCATCCCCTAACCCTTTAACCTAACTCCTAACCCTAACCCCTAGCCTAGTTAACGTTAAATACATAGCTAACATTAGCCACCTTGCCAACATTAGCCACAACAAATTAGAATTCGTAACATATACGTTTTTTGCAAATTTGCCAACATATTGTATGAATTGCAATCCGTAACATATTGTACACATTGCAATCCGTAACATATCATACAAATTGTAATTCATAACATATCATATGAAATAATAACGGACACCCACAAATTCACATATATCATATGAAAGGTAACATATCATACTAATTGAATTGCCCGGTATACATTAACTATGTTACGTCTACTCCTGAGTCCAGGTTGAAAACCCGTACCTACAAGGGATGGGAAATGTGACTCACCGTCTGCTGTTCAGTGCAAACACAACAAACGTTAACAATTTAAAGCCACCAGACTACAAAAAACTATAAAATGCATGTTTGAAGTGAGGAAAAGTTACAACTCACCTTTTTTAGCCGATTGTAAATCATTGTTTGGAAGACTTGAGCCACGACCAAGGCGATGCCCACTATCAGTAGATGGGCGCAGACAAACCCAGTAGCGTAAATTGCACATGATCTCCGAGTCATGATGCTGGCCAACTATCAAACTAGCTAATTTGGCAAATTTGAAATTACTTATAACAGTAACGATAATACTGACTGTAGGTTCTGATCTTTATTTGGACTTTCTTTTCCTCAAAGGTAGCTGCTACTTCTCACTTTGCATCCTGCTCACTACAGACAACACTTGAGACGAATATAAAATTGCTCGTTGATGTGTAGGTATCTACTCGCAAACTGTCTTCGGTAATAAGAAATACTGGTACTCAGTGCTGTCAAAAAAAGCTGTTATTCTGCCCATACAGTCGGTGCCTAACGGGAATCGACTGTGTTGTTCTGAGGCAGCGGGAGAAATAGCAGCTCGCAGTGACCTCCACTCCCTCCTTACCAGATTCAAATGAACTCGATCAAGGCGTCGTTTTGGTTTCTGCTGCGCGGTGGGTGTGTTAAAATCAATGACTGTATATGATGTTAAAATGTAGCGTGCTTTCTGTGTGGCTGAGGTCAGTGTTTTACTTTAAAGCACCATAATAAGACAGCACAAACTAAAATACCTAAGATATATTTGCCCTTGATTTTCTCTACATAGTTAGCTAATGATTTGTATTTGGATACATTCAACCAAGCAACGATTTGAAAGTAAACTTAAGGTTCTGACAATTTCATACCAATTCACTTTCATATGAAACTATGCAAGTAATATTATGAAGTAGTGAGGCTAACAACGTGAATGTACTGAAGGGAGCTTGTGAATGAATTAGCATCGCATGCTCATTCACATATCACCCTAGGATTGCTGCTAGCTAACTTTATAAACTGGTGTTGAGTGTAGCCTAGGCCTACTACTGCCACTACTTAGCAGGGTGGCATATACTATTGCATAACTATAAAACATTTGAAAACTGTGCATCTGAGTTGAGGAGTTAGCTAAATTAATGTACACATGATGCTGCCTTCATACATGTTTGGGAGTAACCGACCGTTACTTCTCAACATGAAATTCCGCTATCTCACCTCATCATGTCTCTTTAAATAACTACAACATGAACATGAATAATGTGTTATTCAGAGAACCAACGATAGTTGACGTGAACCGTTTGTTCACTGAGCAGTAAACCTTATTGGCTAACAGCCTCCCGGACCACCATCCTAAGACCACCCCCAGTGGGTTATGATTGGACGGACGAGGTTGAGCGTGTTGCAGAATTTGATCGACCGATTTCAGGGCGGTGCTTGTTTAAAGGGGGAATGGCAAAGTGAATCAGATGCGCTCAGAGACCTGACTGGAAATTCCCGGACTACTCAATCCAGCTAAGGTCGACGGAAAAAGAGAAAACGCTAAATAAGTACAGACACACATCTTGAAATAATTCCTACCTTCAGCAAATAGTTATCCTCTGGTTCTCCCTTGTTAAATGTTATACAATTTCCCCCATCTGTACAATAATAGGCTACTATGCTTCCCATTGATTATTGCCTCAACACTAATGACAAAATGCGGATACATTTATGTCTATACTGTATAGTGTCTCAATTATTTCAATCAATGCAGTAATCAATGCAATGAGTGGAGGGAGTAGCCTAGGGCCAATAACAAGGCAGAGTAATCAAATAAGGCAAGTAAAACAATTAAATGAAGAACACTTTTAGATAAGGGACAGTTCGACATTTACTGGGGGTGGCGGGCTGGGGGAGGCAGGGCTCCTCCAACTCAAGGTTTCCAAAAATGCACCCCCTCCCCAACGTAAAAAATAGTTTCACCTGACCCTCCCCTTGTTCTGTAAAATAAATTGCACACCCTGCCCCCTCATAGAATTATATCAAAATAATGTTTACGACAACAAATAACAATAACTGTAGAGACCCTGTGTTTATAAACGTGGATATCGACTTTGCCAATTCAGCATGCTTTTGTGGCCCAGTCAATGCCACGCAGGGCTATGAGCCAGAAGGTTGAGGGTTCACCGACCACCATGGACGAGCTCACTCTCCCTGCCTGTTTCATTACACTACAATCAGAGCCGGCTGCAGACAATGATCAGCTAGGGGGAAATCTGATTTTCAATATTTTGATGCCATATTTATAATTATATAAAATACATGCATCGAATTTTCCACCAACAGCTTTCTGTGCCAATGCACCACACAACCAATAAACAAAGCATACCAACTTCAGGCACTTCAATATCATGGTTTGCGTTTTCAACACCACAGTAAATAGACTATGTCAATCTCAACAAAAAACCTTGTAGGCCTACCCAGCATCAAAGGCATGGCTTGACAATGTCTGTATGTCATTCAACTTTTTGGTATTTGTAATGATGTGTCCTTCCATTCATCAAATGGCCACTGCACAGTTTGGATTGATTGACTGATTTTATTTGTCAGTTAAAAAAATTACCTATATACACACAGTACAAAGATTTTTAAAAGTGACCGGGATTGCTAAAAAATGTTGGGACTTATTTCCATTGTGGTCCCTATTTTTTAACATAAATACATATACAATTACATAGATAGACACAGACACATTACAGCGATACAGACAAAAAAATGCTCGACCTCCAGATGAGTATGAGGGGGGAGTTGTGTTTCCATCAAATTGACTTTTTGCGCATAAAGGTTTGTAAATACGTACATAAAAATAACTTTTGCGGTTAAATGATCATGTATTGAATAAAAAAATACAAGTTAAATTGGTTTCCATCACATTTTCAACTCTAGGCCTACTGATGGTTTTGTCACAAAAAAATGTTTAATAGGTATAGCGAATGTGCCCACTCTGGTATTGGCACGTGCACTCTAGTCAACAGCTGGCAGATACAGTGCGGGTATAGCCTACATGATGAGATTATTATGGACAAAAATTGATCATCATGTCACCAGAATAAGACCCTTGATATTTATTGAAAGGAGCATCAAGCTCATCACCGTGCACTTTCACCACCCTGTGAAGTCCATCATAATTTATATAATCTGTAGCCTAATAAACTGCATGCTTTCCCATGATGTCATGATATTTTTTATCCAACATGTACTTTACTCTCATAAAAAGGTTGGATGTAAACCTGGTTAATGTCAAGCCATTTTGAGAATGCTGGAATTATATTTTGGACATACAGTACGTGCTCATGCCTACAGAATACTTTTGAAGTAGCCTAATCAGATTAAAACATTGTGACTGGTTGTGTTTATGTCACATATAAAAGGTAATACATTTGAAAAGTTAAATGATAAATATTTAGTCTATGTTGAAGCGTTAGGTTCTAGGTGCGTGAGGAATAGCCTCTCGGATTGGAGAGGAGGCAGAGCGTGCGTTAAGCTTTCCTGAATAACTAGGCCTGGAGCATATGTGGTCACATTATTATAGGACGACTTGGAAGAATGATGATCTGCAACAGACAGCGCATCTCAGTATCAGAAGTAAACATACAGCCAGACTGGCCTGCTACAGTGCCTTTGTATACCTTATCAACTGTCGAGAGTACGGTCCCGTGTAGCTCAGTTGGTAGAGCATGGCGCTTGCAACGCCAGGGTTGTGGGTTCGATTCCCACGGGGGGCCAGTATGAAAAAAAAAATTTATGCACTCACTAACTGTAAGTCGCTCTGGATAAGAGCGTCTGCTAAATGACTTAAATGTAAATGAGAGTAGACCAACAACGGATCCAAATGTAATGACAATTTCAAATCATAGGGCCTTTGCGCCATTATTCAAATTATATTTTCACTGCAGCCTAGAGTAGAATTTTGTACTCACTTGAAAACAATCACGCAATTATTCATTGTATTGTGGTGTTCTAGGCTAGCCTAGGTAGGATAATTGTATTGTCCCTAAACAAGATCAATAGGGGAGCTTTTTGAGCTGTGTGTCTCAAGTCTTTACTGTTCTTTCATGTACAATGATCAAATCAAATCAAATTGTCACAGGCGCTGAATACAACAGGTGTAGACCTTACCGTGAAACGCTTACTTACAAGCCCTTAACCAACAATGCAGTTCAATAAATAAAGTTAAGAAAATATTTACTAAATTAAATAAATTAAATAAAAAGTAACACAATAAATTAACAATAACGAGGCTATAGACAGGGGGTACCAAGTCAATGTACAAGGGTACAGGTTAGTCGAGGTAATTTGTACATGTACAGTGAGGGAAAAAAGTATTTGATCCCCTGCTGATTTTGTATGTTTGCCCACTGACAAAGACATGATCAGTCTATCATTTTAATGGTAGGTTTATTTGAACAGTGAGAGACAGAATAACAACAAAAAAATCCAGAAAAACGCATGTCAAAAATGTTATAAATTGATTTGCATTTTAATGAGGGAAATAAGTATTTGACCCCTCTGCAAAACATGACTTAGTACTTGGTGGCAAAACCCTTGTTGGCAATCACAGAGGTCAGACGTTTCATGTAGTTGGCCACCAGGTTTGCACACATCTCAGGAGGGATTTTGTCCCACTCCTCTTTGCAGATCTTCTCCAAGTCATTAAGGTTTCGAGGCTGACGTTTGGCAACTCGAACCTTCAGCTCCCTCTACAGATTTTCTATGGGATTAAGGTCTGGAGACTGGCTAGGCCACTCCAGGACCTTAATGTGCTTCTTCTTGAGCCACTCCTTTGTTGCCTTGGCAGTGTGTTTTGGGTCATTGTCATGCTGGAATACCCATCCACGACCCATTTTCAATGCCCTGGCTGAGGGAAGGAGGTTCTCACCCTAGATTTGACGGTACATGGCCCCGTCCATCGTCCCTTTGATGCGGTGAAGTTGTCCTGTCCCCTTAGCAGAAAAACACCCCCAAAGCATAATGTTTCCACCTCCATGTTTGACGGTGGGGATGGTGTTCTTGGGGTCATAGGCAGCATTCCTCCTCCTCCAAACACAGCGAGTTGAGTTGATGCCAAAGACCTCGATTTTGGTCTCATCTGACCACAACACTTTCAACCAGTTCTCCTCTGAATCATTCAGATGTTCATTGGCAAACTTCAGACGGGCCTGTATATGTGCTTTCTTGAGCAGGGGGAC